TTGAATGGTTTTGTGGTACTGATAAAAAAGACAAGATCTACTTCTTTTGATAAGAAGATGATTATATAAGTAAATTGTAAGTTATATAAATTAGATTTAATGCTCTTGATTAGAACTTTTGACTTTAAAAATTCAAACTGCTTGTAAGTGATGTAAATGGATGATATAACTTATAAAGCATGCATATTGTTAGAAATCATCGACACAAAGTCAACTTGTATTGATAACTATTTATTAAAATTACTCGATAGATATTGCTACATATGACCCATTTGAAGATAACATAAAAGTTTAACCCATTGGATAGATGAACTGGCAATCAAACTGGAAGGTTCATGATTCTGCATTTGGAATTAATAATTGTAAGTGTCATTGAATTTTTAAAATTAACATCTTTAAAGAATACTTGCTTTATGTTGGATAATCTACAAGAATAGGCTCAGAAGAACCAAATAAGTATTAAAGCGGAATTCTATTTGGCTTCTTAGAAAGCTATAATTATGAATACTCTTCCTATGCTGTTTTGGGAAGTTAAAACTCTGATTTGTAATAATTAGCTTGGACTATGGCATACATTGACATTTCTAATGAATTTAATGTGCAACTTATATCAGACAATTAATCAGATCGTCCTACAATATCAAATTATTAAGCTGGCACTTTTAACTTAGACGATCTGAACAGAACTTTTTACTAATCCTTTGATTTTAACATAAACACTTAAATGTAAATTAAAATAGGAGGAAATTTTACATAAGTAATCGAATTTTACTATGAAGATGGCCTAAAAAGTAAGAATTTAGAATTGATTGTTGGGGGATAAAATTGTTCTGATATATTTGCTGAATATACCTTATATGAATCAAATGATACTTTAAGCAACCTAGCTTATTTGAAAATTTTAAATGGCTAGCTTGTATTTAAATCAGAATAATTTGGAATAGCCAGCGATACAAGATAGCTTTACTTTGCTGTTCAGAATAATGCAAGAAATTTCACACAAGCTATTACAGTTTATATAAAGAGGCTCTGTGAACCATTAATATAAAACGTCACAGACAGTATCAAATTTGACTATTTAAACTCCTAAGATTCAGGCAATCTATTATTTTTGCCTAAGGTAGTAATACCAGCTAACTTTACTCCGAAATGTTCGGTGTCCTATTTAGTAAATTGGCCAAATCCTCGTCAAGATAAATTAAATTTTACATATTCTTAAGCTGAACATGCAATTAATATAACTTCTGTTGAGCCTGGACTTAATTAAGATATGAATATGTTTCTCCATATTTAATATTAAGGTCTAACAAGATAGATACCAATAACCATAAGGGTTACAAGTACATGCATATAAAATGGTTACTTTATTCCTAACACTCCAAATTAAATAAACTATATAATAGGTTTGGATTAAAAGGTAAAGATTACTGATTATAACTGGACCTATTCTAACCCTTTTTGTATTTACAATGAAAGATAAGTTATATATTCACTCTTTAATCTTGACAATACATCCGTTTCTACTCAGTCACCTTATTTTGAAGAAAATAGGGGTTTGTATGTTGAAACTCTTGATATTAATTTTGCAGGCAATACTGAATAATTAATCATTAAAGTGCTCATTGTAGGCTAGAATTAAGATTAAGCTCAATAATATAAATTCAATGTTACCTTTAAATAATGTAACGGAGATATTAAGTATACTACAATACCTTAAATTACAAAAGACTATTTCATTAATGGTAGTCTAGATTTTATTGTGTTTACAAAACCAGAAAGACCAAACACTTACTGTGGTGAATTTACGCTTGCAATTTCTTTATATCAAGAAGGATTACTATAATAAACTTTTCCGGATTTTCTAACAATAAATGCATCAGAGAGACTTATAGAATTAAAGACAAATAATTACTCTTACTCAGGATAATACGAACTTAAAGTATATTTCTTTGATAAATATTTGAACTTATTCAACTAGAGTGAGGTAGGATAGATAACGGTAATTATAAATATGAATAATGATTGCTATTAAGAACATTGGCCATAAATTGAGTATGATCAACTAAATGATATCTATTTCGATTAATAAAATGTTATTACCTACTTTATTACTTATGATGAAAGTATTATCACTAAATGTGGTGAAATTATTCCATTTTTGGAATATGGATCAAATAGAACTCTAGATAATGAGGCTTCCTTTACAACAGAAAACGGGATTATATTTAAGTTTTACAGTTAGCCTGAGAATAAGATAGTAATTACATCATCTAACTATTCAGTGTAAGGTTTAAATTTCACATTTAAAATAGGAGTTTATCATCAGTACAATTCAAAGAACATCTCCTATTAGGTTCTTACAGCTTAATTTATAGCTAATTGTGCCAAAAATGAGCTTCTATCACGCAGAATTAGTGTGGGAACTCATCATCAGCATATTTTTGAATTAATGGTTTCAACTTTTCCAACTGAATTCGAGTGGAAATTACCTGATTAATAGTGCATAGAAACTATAAACACATATGTCTATTCATTAGGAAACTGCTCTTTTAGTTTAGAAGAATTTAAGTAAATACTAACTCCAGTTGATTCAGCAAATGCATAAATAAATACTACCTCCATTGCTATAAATAATGATTGCTTTGCTAGTGTTAAAATATAAAACTTTAATCCAAATGATCCTAATACGTAACTTTAAACTAATGTTAATATTGACTTCAAATCGTGCAAAAATGTATATTTTTAAGGTTGATCATTGAAATATGTGTATATAATGGATATCGCTGTTACAAATGATGTTTTTACAATTAATATTGGAGATATTCTATCAGTAAAGGATTGCATAAAAATTGGATAACATAAATTGATAAATCTTACGGATAACTAAGAAATACTAAAAAATAATACATTAATTACACCTGAATAAGGTTAATTTAAGATACATAATCCAAAAGATGATAGTTAATTAAAGAATTTATCATTATAATATGTAATGTAAAAAGGCAGCTTAAAATAGACAGTTATTTTGAAAGAACATAGTTTTATAGTTTAAATGATAAATAGTTGTCGGTATTAAGAAAATGTTATTAAACCTAACATTAGCAGTTATTTTGAATTATGGAGTAATATGAGTCATTTAATCAATTTAGTTTGGAATACTAGTACTGCTTGCAAGATAGTATAAGCCAATTTGATTTTATTATCTGGAACAATTATACATGGATGGAGTGATTTTTCTAATAGTCATCTTCTATTAAATACACCAAATGATTACCAGGCTTATGGTAATTTTACGTTTTTTAATAATGTAACTTATGGCTATGGACTTTAGAATAATATTTCATTCACAGTTTTGATTAAAAAGAGTTGCGATCTTAATAAAATTATAGAACCAGAGAATTAAGTTTGATAATTAGTATACTATTTGAGCTCAGGATTCTAACCAATTTCATACTAATACTCCTAGGAATTAAGCTATTGTGATAATGTTAAAATTACAGCCAAAGTTGAAAATAATGAATATGGTAATGTAGATTTATAGAAATTGAATGAAACTCATTTTTAGATAGCAGCCTCAAATCAAAGTCTCATTGATCATATTGTATACATTACGATTAAGGCAGATCTCAATGGTACAATTTTTAATTCCCTGTAATTGTTGGTGACAATTCAAAGTTGTATTTTATACTCAGTCAAGCCTTATCTAGATGATATTTTGAATTATGAGAATTAGACATTTCTATTTACAATGAGACGACAATAATACTTGGAAATTAAATTTAAGCCTTTTATACAAGCTAATTAGTGCAACTATCCTATTACTTATATTACTAATTCTGATTTCATTACCACTAATGAAATATAACTAATCAGCAAAAATGACTAAATCATAGTCTATCATTTTTAGACTTAAAACAATGAACTGGCCCACCTAGATAAAATAAATTTCAGGATAATAGCATAGACAGAAATATATAATAGTTCATCTCTTAACTAACCATTGAATATAAGTATCAAGGTAGTAAAGCCAAATTCACAAGGGCCTAAGTTTTACAAAAAATTAGAGCAATTGGATATTTACCCAGGTGAGATTAAGTACTACAAATTTCCAGATATATTTGACTTCGATAATGACTCACTTAAAGAAGCTTAGCTAGACTTATTTAGAGCTTAGCAATTTGTTCTAGGTAGTTTTCCTAGATTTTTCATTTCTCCAGAAGTTAAGTATATTGGTAATTATTCAATTAAAGTTACACTAATTGACGATAACGTCAATCCACTTCAATCAATCTATTATTTCAGAGTCAATGTATTGAAGATTCCTCCAGTAAAAATAACAACTACTCCTCAATAATAGATAATAGGAGAATTTAATGATGAGTATTTAAGTAGTAAATATGCAAACAGCAAAATTGTAAAAGCAACTTTAAAGAGCGTCAATCTTAATGGTTTAGCAAAGGTAACTTTTAATACAAGGTTAAGTGTACCCTAATAATTTTATGATATTGATAACAAGACTCTTATACTAAAGATCTATGGAATAAGCGGATTGGAAAGATAAATTGATTTCAGTTGGAACATAGTCTCATTCAAATAATCTCAATTGGAAATCTAATTAGTCTTTAAAAATCCATCTCAAATATCAGTAGAAGTAATTTTAGGAATTCTAAAAAATTTCAATATAGAGATTTGATAAACTGAGAATTACCTTCATTAAAGCTTAAGTATTTTACGACGCTTAAACAGGCAGAAGATTAAGCTAAAACACTGTGATTGAATCTGAGATTCCTTAACAACTTTAAGATGACAGTAAAACTATATATATATTAACTATTTCTGAAGAGATGACCTTTGTTCTTTAAAA